GTATCACTGCACTCTAGTCTGGGCAACAGAGTCTCACACACACACACACACACACACACACACACACACACACGTGACTCAGGAAGAGGAGAAGATGACTTATTCTCTTGTCATTTTCCCTCTGGTATATTCCCTTTCAGCGACACTAACAGGCATCTTCCTTCCCTCTCCCCTCCTCATTGCCCCATCCCTTACTGTCATTTTTCCTTTCTCACTGACTATTCTTTCCAACTTTTCCTATCCTTACTCCCTTTTTTTCTTCTTGTCCTCAAACATTTGCTAAGAAGGACTAGATCCTTTCCTCCCCACTTCAAAGTCAAACGTAAGATCCTGGGGGGTGGGGTGCATGTAGGTCAGCTGTCAGGGAACCCAGTGGCTAACACACAGGTCCATGAGAAGTGCTTCTGCACAACCGCCCTTGTCAACAGAAATCTTCTTCCTCCTGGTAGAGCCTGGACTCTGAAGAGAAGTCCAGCTGAGCAGGAACAAAGAGTTTGGATGAAGTTGGAGAGAACAGGAGGAAATGAAGTTCTCAGGACTGTTCACTAACCCAAATTGACAGTCCCTCACCCCCAAGTTCGCCACACAACCCTCTGCTTCCAAACCCAAACCCATCATGGAGAGAGGAATCTGCAACTCCATGTCCGCCTTCTCCCTTCTCAGCAGAAAGTCACAGCACTCGAATGAACATCAGTTGTGCAGTCGCAGCACTGTCAAGCCACAGAAAGAATGAGACGGGAAACTGAGAGCCTCTTCTCAGCTCTAGAAAGCTCGATCTCTGAAAGCAAGGCTGCTTTCGTTTGTTGGAACCATAATAACTGTCTCACCAATGCTGCCTGGAAACTCCTGGAAGATTTGTTAACACGGTGAAAGCCACACTATACTTCCCAGCAGCAAAATCATGTACTTAGCGGTCCACCTTCAAACCAGGGAAGAAAACAGGCAGCCACGGCATGGAATGGAGATCCTTCACCTACTGGCAAGTATTTTCACAAAACGTGGCATAAAAGTTCCCTAATTAGGGTTGAATCAATGATAGCTGAGTTACAATAACCTTGTTTCAAAGCTTGTAGTCTATTTCTCTTTCTAAAAATGAATAATAGCCATCTCATCATGATCTGTCAGAATGAGGTTTAATGAGTTTGATAGGACCATAAAAGAGGAGGCATAAATCCACCACCACTGACTACACAAAAGCTCCCAACGGCCCCCTAAAAGAACCTTCTTATAACCAAGCTGCTTTTACCATACTGGCAAAGAAAACCCCCAACAAGCATAACTTTTCCATGAGAACCAACATTAGCACAAGCCAGAACTGCTCTAGAAAACAGCACGTTCAACATGGACCCAAGAGACGCTCTTGCAAGGCTCTGTCCTGAGGGACTGTGCCTCTATTTCCCGTCTCCTTCCTCCAACCTCCTCAGAATGGATTGAATACAGAAATTCATTCAATAAATATTAACTGAACACCTAGTATGTACCAGGCATCAAGTGGACAAAGAGATCTCTGCTCAGTGATCTAGCAGGGAGAAACAGACACCAATTAAGAAAACAGGTTACATAGCAGGTTAGACCGGGACAAGTGTTATAGAATCCAGGCCCCAACACAGTCTCCGGGCCCATATTGGGACCTGTTCGCCATCAGAGGCTGTAATGGTTATCTGCACATCCAGCATCTACTGCATACTTGACATATAATGCTATCTCGATTTTTAAAACTCCTTCTGATAAACAAATGAGTTACCAAGCATCTTAAGTTTTTAAGCTCCCTATCTTAGAGACAGAAGTGAGAAACATTAGGTGCTAACCTACAAATGTCAGAAAGAAGAAAAAAATCTAGAAGTTCTTGAGAGTCTCTAAAGTGTGTGTGTGTGTGTGTGTGTGTGTGTGTTTGAGTTTGAGTATCACTCTGCTGCCCAGGCTGCAGTGCAATGGCACCATCATGGATCACCACAGTCTCAATCTCCTGCGCTCATGTGATCCTTCTGCCTCAGCCTCCCAAGCAGCTGGGACTACAGGTGCGCAACCACAATACCTGGCCATTTTATGTTTATTTGTTTGTTTTTAATGTAGAACAAGGCCTCATTATGTTACTTAGGCTACTCTTGAATTCCTGGGCTCAAGCAGTTCTCTGGCCTCAGTCTTCCTAAGTGCTGAGATTATAGGCGTGAGCCACCACAACCATCAGTATTTTTGAAAATCATGTTTTTCTTTGATTACAGAGCAAAAAACAAAAAGACAGTCACTTAAGAGTTACTAATTTTAAACCAGAGATTCTTAACCTAGAGTCTAAAGATTCAGACATGCTTGTGAACCCACTGAAATTGTTAGCATAATTAGGGAGAGAACAGAAGTCATGTGCGCTTATCTAAGGACAAGGTTAATAATTTTTGCCAGCTTCTTAGAGGTTTGTGATCTCAAAAATATTAAGAAGCACTGCCCTAAGGAATAAATGTTTTGGCTGGGTGCAGTGGCTCAAGCCTGTAATCCCAACACTTTGGGAGGCCGAGGTGAGAGGACTGCCTGAGCCCATGGGTTTGCGACCAATCTAGGCAACATGGTGAGACCTCCTCTCTACAATAAATCAAAAAATTAGCCGGGTGTGGTAGTGTGCACCTGTAGTTCCAACTACTTGGAAGGCTGAGGCAGAAGGATCGTGGGAGCCCGGCAGGTCGACACTGGTGTGGCCGTGAGCATGCCACTGTACTCCAGCCTAAGCGATGGAGGGAGACTCCAACTCAAAAAAAAGAAAAAGAATAAATGTTTTGTAAAAATTGGCTGGGTACAGTGGCTCACACCTGTAATCCCAGCACTTTGGGAGGCCAAGGTGGGAAGATCACTTGAGCCCAAGAGTATAAGACCAGCCTATACAGTATAGCAAAATCCTGTCTTTATATATATATATATATATATATATATATATATATATATATATATTTAACTATATTTATGTCCTTATTAATAGCAAAGATATCCTTTTTAACACTAAGTCAGCATGTTCATATTTTTTTAATAGGTGGAAGCTTTATATTGAGAACAGTAGGCAGACAAGGTAGTCTGTTGGAAGGTAGGCTTTTGGAACGCAGCACTCCAGAAACAACCTGAAACTTTTTCTTCCTTATGTCCCCCACCAACCATCTCCATCCCTACTTGTACACAAAGGCCAGCTAAGCTGTTTGAATAGTATACCAGCTCCTTCAAATTCTGACTCCAAACTCAAACTGCCATGGGTTAGACCTAACATCAGCAAAAGTCATACTCAGGTCTTGTTTTAACTATTATGAATAAAAACCTCTCAAATGTTACCAGAACCACCAAGTTCCAGAAATTGAGGAGGAAAGAACAGTAGCTGGGGAAAGAGATCGCAAATGGCAACAGCGAACAGTACTTATTTCTAGTGTTTAGCATGTTGCATGTATGGTGAGAAGAAAGAGTACATTAAAGCAGTTTCAGATCACCTCCGATATGAAACCATTTCTTCTTTTACCTCCACAAACTGTCTCATACCTACTTGTAAATGAAGGCCTGCTAAACTGTTTGAATAGACACCAGCCCCTTCAGATTCAGGGTCCAAACACAAGCTGCCAAGGGTCAGACTCAACCAGCAAAAGTCACACTCCAAAGTCACACTCCTAATTCAAGCCAAGCTCAATCTTATCCACCAGCCCCTTAGACAGGAATGTGGACCCTTCCCGTTCATCCCCTTCCTTAGTACTGCCTGGACCTCAAGGGCTTTACCCTTCCCCAGCTTCGCCTTCTTTACTTGCCATTCATGACAGCTGGGTGCAACCAGGAAGACGCTAGGCAAGGAGGGAGACCTTCCCAAGCAGAGCAAATAGAGGCTGGCCCTGGCCCCTGGGTCTCAGCAGAGCCTGGCTCCCAGCCCCACTCTAAATGAGCTCATGGTCCTCTGGCCCCATCTTACTTCCTTTCAATTTTATTTGCCTTTTTTTCTCTCTCTCTCTCTTTTTTTGAGTCAAGGTCTCACTCTTGTCCAGGCAGGAGTCCAGTGGCAACATCACGGCTCACAGCAGCCTCAACCTTCTGGGCTCAGGAGATCCTTTTGCCTCAGCCTCCTGAGTAGCTGAGACTTCCAAAGTGCACCACCACGGCTGGCTCATTTTTTTATTTTTTGCAGAGATGAGGTCTCTCTATGTTGCCTAGGTTAGTCCCAAACTCCTGGCCTCAAGCAATCCTCTCACCTTGGCCTCCCAAAGTGCTGGGATTACAGGCATGAGCCACCACTTTTCCACTGAAAATTATCTCTTTATCTGAGATTTTCTCTCTCTCTCTCTCATTGTCAATCACTAACTTGATCAAGATTGCTGTGACACATATAATCTGAGTAAGAAATCCAAAGACAGTTGACCAGGCTCAGTGGCTCAACCTGTAATCCCAGCAATTTGGAAGACCAAGGCAAGTGAATTGCCTGAGCCTGTGGATTCGAGACCAGTTCAGGAACTTGGCAAGGCCTCATCTCTACAATAAATGAAAAAAAAATTAGCAAGACATGGTAGCGCGAGCCTATAGTGCCAGCTACTTGGAAGGCTGAAGCAGAAGGATCGCCTAAGCCCAGTGGGTTGATGCTGGGGTGGTCGTGAGCGTGCCACTGCACTCCAACCTGGGCGACGGAGTGACACTCCAACTCAAAAAAAAAAAGAAGAAGAAATGCAAAGACAGGAATGAAAGCAACAAAAAATCCTCAACAGTTCACAACTACCTTGTCAATATTCACTTGCATCTGGATTAAAATGTGTCTTCATTCAACCAGTGAGATAACAGATGACCAGGTAAGGCTCAGATTCATGGAACTCCAGCAAAGACAAGCTCAATGAGAACCTCTCAGAACCGAGCTCATCGTTGCAATAACAAAACCATTTTTGAAAAAAGAGAGAGAGAAATGAAATCTAAGAGGATAATAAAACAAAATCTACAAGCATTACCTGGTGACAAGCCAAACACAGAAGAAGTCTCTTAAGAAAAAACAGAAAGAATTTTACCTTTTCATGGTTTTCAATTAAGATTTCCACGACAATATTCTGGAACTTCAGGTCCATGATGGCAGCGACAGTCTCTTCCTGTGGCCTCATCAGGGTTGGTCCAAACACCACTCCCAAATTTGTCACGGTCATCAGGTTCTGCTTGGAGTGATTTGAAACACTGAAATTGACAAGGGGGAGAGGGAGGAGTCTCTGTTTAATCCGAGGAGCACCAAGTGTGGGATGCACAGCATTCTGCAACTCTGCCCTTCCTAAGAAGCAAGGAGTCAAGAGACTCAATCGTCCTCAACTTCGGTCTCTAAAATCACCAGAGCTGGCAAGACCTTGGGTGCCAAGGCCCTGCTGCCCTTCCACTTCTCTCTGATGCTCTACTCCCACCACAATGGCTGTCTTAATGATTCCATATGCCATTGGCCCTCCACATCCTCAAGGGATTGGTTCCAGGATCCCTGCAGATACCAAATCTGCAGATGCTCAAGTTCAGCGGTCGCGGCGGGGGAACCCACAGATAGAAAAAGGCAGCGCAGCCAGGCGCGGTGGCTCACACCTGTAATCCCAGCACCTTGAGAGGCCGAGGTGAGAGGAATGCCTGAGTTCGGGGGTTCGAGACCAGCCAGGGCAACTTGGCGAGACCTTGACTCTACAATAAATCAAAAAATCAGCCAGGTGTGGTGGCAGGCACCTGTAGTTCCAGCTAATGGGAAGGTTGAGGCAGAAGGATTGCCTGAGCTCAGCAGGTTGAGACTGTGGTAGCCATGAGAGGGCCATGCACTCCAGTCTGGGCAACAGTGTAAGACTTCGACTCAAAAAAGAGAAAGAAAAAGGCACCCTCCATATCCGTGGGTTCTTCATCTTGGCAATACTGGATTTTCCATCAGCGGCTAGTTGAATCATGGACATAGAGCCCATGGATACAAAGGGACGACTGTAGATGCCAAACTTGTTTCCCCAAAAGCCTTCACTTACTGGTTCCCTCTTCTTAGAACACCCCTCTTTCCCCAGGTCATCACACCCTTGCTTCCAAGGACTACCAGACTGCACGGCACCTTTGTAAAAAATTAGCTTCACAACCATGCAGAGCATTGTGAGAGCATCCACACTCACTGCTTTAAGCCTAGTACCATTGTGCAGTGAACAACCTGACAACTGTTCTTAACAGTCCTGCCACTTAATTCAGATCTCAACTTAAAAATCTCATCCCCAGTCGGGCTTGGTGGCTCAGCCTGTAATCCCACGCTTTGGGAGGCTGAGGTGAGTGGATTGCCTGAGCCCGCGGGTTCAAGACCTACCTGGG